GAAAGAAAGAAAGAAAGAAAGAAAGAAAGAAAGAAAGAAAGAAAGAAGCGAGAGAGGGGGAGGGAGGAGGGAGGGAGAGAGATTCCATAGTTAAAATTAAGCATTAGTATATTTTTTATTTCAATTGCAAAAAATAAGGGTATAAATAAAAACTTGAGGTTTTTTAGAAGCTAACTAGTCTCATTCCCAAACTTGGCTGCAGACACTAAAATTTCATTATTGCATTTTATGGACAGTGGGGGGGAAGAGACAGATGGAATGATGGAAATGGGAATTGAGTCCCTCTTTGAAAGTGAGGCCCAATTCCCAATCAAATGCAGATTTAATCACCCATTTGTCAGTTTGCTCTTCTTCCCCACCTTAGCCATCCTCCTGCCTTGTAGCTGCTACAAACAGATGGCTCCAAGGATAGTCACCAATGAATAATTTGGAAAAGAAATCAATTTGAGAAATGCTTATTTCGACTGTTATTTGCAGTTGGGGAAAAAGGAGTTTGAAATGATTAAACAGGGCTTAGAAGTTTTTTCTGCATCTTGCTGTTTCAGGAGGTATTGGCAGATGCCTTGTGCATACACAATTCAGAGAACGTTTGCTATTCAAGAGCTTGGCTCATGTTTTCCTTGAATTCGGCCACTTCTCTCTTTTGAGTAAGGAATGCCAAAGCACATTTGTCTGCCTGTGGTTTTGTATTGTTTTGTTTTGAACTCTCCATGACTTCATTTTATTGATGTTCATTTATGTATTCCCAAAGCTGCTACCAAAAATTAAAATAGTTTAGAGAGGCAAATGGCATATTTCCAGGCATCTGAAAGGGCTCATAAACCAGACAATATTTTGCTTTTCACAATGGTACAAGAAGTAACCTCTGTCACAGGCAGCTTTCTCCAAACTGGGGCTCTTCATGACTTGGCCAGCTACTGCAATGTAGCCGAAAGTTGCCTGATTGAGGTCATCTCTTGCAGTGTAGATGGCAAGATTGGCTCCAGCACAGATGATGTTTCAGGATCACTTTATT